CAAATGGCACAGCGAAAGAGCAATCAGACAGAGAATGAATGACGAAGAAGGTCCAGGACCAGAAATGATGCTCAGCACCAGGATGCCAAGGCTGGAAAGGAACAGAGGTTTAGTGGACAGGACGTGGCTGGCACTTGAGCCATTCTGACTGCAAAGCAGTGGCCTGTGTACACCCTGAGAAGAAAGGATTGCAAGTGAAACTCAGAGAGCTGTGTCTGCACTGCCAAGCTGAGGGCTCCTGCTGGGCCCCACCAGCAGGAGCGTGACACTCAGAGGAGCCCCTTCTCACCTCCAGGCAGGCTGCCCCAAGGCCCCCATGCCATGGGATCTGCGGGCATCAGCAGTTGCCACATCAGCAGGTGTCTGCCCCTGCGTCATACTCAAAGCCAGATCGCTTGTCCAAGGGCAGGCGGGTTGCAAAGCAGTGGGTCCAGGAACTCGGGCCGTCCATTCACTTGAAAATCCCTCTCGGTCACTTCTTCCTTGGAGTTGGCTTGCTCCTCCTTTTCAATCTGGGTTAAAAAGGAAAAAAAAAAAAAAACCCACAACGCTGGTTAGTGATGTATACTCTAACTCCATGCCCAGTTAATAATTGCAAACTTTGAGGCTGTTTTTCCTCTAAGAAATCCAGCCATAGAATCCCTCTCTTTGAGTTCTCAATTCCAACAGACTAACCAAAATTAATATGATAATCCTGTTTTCCTGGTCTGGGCCTAGAAAAGATATTCTTAAACAGTTCTCTTATTTTTACATATAATTATTGCTTTTTTGGCTAATCATCATAGATAATTTTGAAATGTAGAAAGGAGGAAAAAATTAAAGTACACTGTAGGGCTAAAAAAAAATACTAATTACCCAGAGACATAAAGATGTGAATGTACACACACACAGACTGTATGTGTTTGTGTTACAAAATTGTGACCATATTATCATAGTCCTATTATGATGAGAAACAGACTGTCTTCTAGGAGATAAACAATATTCAAATAAGACATCGTAAAACTGTGGCCCGAGATAAGTATTGCTTGTAAGCTATCCAACTGACGTTGCGTGTAACGTTAATGGCAGTGTGTTTAGACAGCAGAACTCTGTGTGACTGCCTTTCAGATGCGGCCATGTGGAATAATCTCAGAGCGACATTAAGGTTTTTAATAAAAAAATGAAGATATATATATTTTTTGAGAAGTTTTTGCTATAGGTCACATGCGCTCGCCAGAAAGACAGAGAGAGACAGAAAGTGAGAAATCATCCCCGGGGTAATGGCCGTGCGGCAATCCTTTCTCCTCCATTCTCCTCTCGGGATCTTGGGCACACACACACACACACACACACACACGCCCAGTGTGAGTTTAAGCCACATGGTCCGGGACTCGAACCACAGTCGACTACATGGGAGTTGAGTGACATAGCCATTACACTAACTGCTGATCCCAACAGTGTATGTGTTGGGGGGGGGAGCAGTCCCATAGTACAGTGATTAAGCAGTGTGCATAGGGAGCCAGGTCCCACATGGCCTGTTACAGTTGAAACTCCAGCTTGGAAAATATGCTGGGTAGATCTACATGCATGACCAAAATCTTGACAGGAAGGAGAAATGGAAGAAAGAGGACTGCAGAATAACCCTGCCCCATTGGGTAGGGAGAATGTTCTCTCTCTCTCTCTCTCTCTCTCTCTGGCAAGTGCACATCCCTTTTACAATTAGGGGAGGAAACATGCAGAGTGAACCGTAGCCTGGAGGGTTAGAAAACATCCCTTGAAATATGGGGATGGATCTCTACATTTTCTATATTATCTCTATGACATCTGGCTATGGGGCAACTTGTGTGCATTAAAACTCCCCACATATCTTGCAGAATAGAAAACCCAGACACCGAGACTAGGACAGAAGCCCACATGTATTGAGCATTGCCCCCCATGGGTATCATGACAATCAGCCACTACTCCACCTTTGATAACATGAGCCTCTAGTTATCTGATTGGCCCTTCACTGGCAACAGCAGCCACATGGACAGCAATAGGAACGGGCAAACTATGCAACAGTCCTTGTATTTCAACCAACCAGGGGAAGCATCTGAGTTGAAAAGGATTAGATGATCCAACCTATCCACAAAACTACAGTTGTGATAACATGCATACTACAGTATCTAGAACTATAATATGCTGAGTTATCCACTTAACAATACTAACTAATGAGGTAAATAGTATTCTCATTTTACATGTAAGGAAAGGGCCACTTTGACAGAATACGTAACTTGGATGAAAAGAATCTACGGGCAGCAAAACTTAGGCTCAAGGCTGATGCCAGTCTTTGCCCTTCCCTCTGTGCCAGACTGATGGCTAGGTATATGTAGGCCTCAATCAGTCAATAGCATTTGCCAGGGCCAGCAGATGGACCAACATAATGGTTATGTTGCTGGACTCCACATAGTGGACCACGGTTCAAATCCCAGACCCAGCAGCTTAAAACTCAAGCCAGGTGTGTGTATGTGTGTGCATGCTCAAAATCCTGAGAAGGAGAACGGACAAAAAAGGATTGTGGCATGGCCATCCCCGTTGGGGGGTGATTTCTTACTTTCTGTCTCTCTGTCTCTCTCTGTGTCTCTGGCGAGCATATGCGCCCAATAGCAAAAATCTCTCTCTGAAAGTAAATACATACATACATACATACATACATACATATATTAGCCAAGGCCTGATTCAGGCCTTGGATTAAAAGACAGCATCATTACAGCTCTCCCCAAATTGATCCATAAACTCAGCACTGTGCTTTTTAAAATCCTACCAACATATATTAAAGAACTTGACACACTGAAAAGTTATATGAAAAACTAAAGAAATTAGAATACCCAGACGATTTCAGAAATGAAGAACAATGTTGGAGAACTCATGCTGACTGGTTTCAACACTTACTATTCATCTACAGTAATAAAGTGTAGTATTGGTCAAAAGAAATATGCAAAAACTAATTAAACAGATCGAAAGTCTAGAAATAAGCCCCCACATACATGCTTGACTGTTTTCGTTTTTGTTTTTTTTTTAATAAAATTGCAAAGGTAAAGCAGCGAAGACGCTTTCAACAAATGCTACAGGAGCAATTGGTGATCCAATACAAATAAATACAAAGAAACCTCAATTCCTGCCCTTCCATCATTTACCAAAAAAAATAACTCAGAATGAATAATAATGTAAATGTAAAACCTAAAATGTAAAACTTCTAGAAAAAAACATAAGAGAAAATAATTATGACCTTGGATTAGGAAAAAAGATTCTATCCTGTACAGCATTAAAAGAATGAGCGATAAGAGGAGAAAATGGATAAATTTTGCTTTGCCAAAATGTAAAACGTTGGTTCTTTATAAAACAGGAATAAGAAAAGGCAAGTCACAGATCTGAAGGAAATATTGGTAAAACATATTTTTCATAAAGGACTTACTTGTACCTAGAATATTTGTAAACCTCTCAAAACACAATAATAAAACAACAACCCAATGTTTAAATATGCAGAATATTTGTATAGATACTTCATCAAATAAGTACCTATTAGAATAGATAAAATTTTAAAAGCTGACAATAACAAGAAGTCTAGATTGTTGATGAAACTACACAATGGTACAACCTCTTTGGAAAGTAAGTTAGCAATTTCTTATAAGTTTAAACATATGTATGTCATACGTCCCAGCTATACCAGACTGGTTATTTCCTCAAGAGAAGAGAAAACTTGTGTTTTTAGCATAACTTCATGTTATGTTTCTATGTTTTTAGCAGCTTCACTCAGAATCACCAACACTGGGACAATTTAAATGTCTTATAACTGGTGAGAAGCAAAGTGTGGTTGGTGGATTCATACAATAAAATACTACCCAACCTATAAAAAAGAAAAAAAAAAAATACTGACACATGCAATAGCACAGTTCAGTCTCAAAAGTGTTATGCTTAGTGAAAGAAGCCAGACTGAAAAAACTGGAAGTTTTTATGACCTCTAATAGTAATTACTTACGGGTCAGCATTCTCTGAAATAGATTCTGATTTATCAATTATAATTGACAATTACAAAAGTTATAATTGCACCGTTCTTCCAAAATCTTGATAGTTCTAGCCAAATTCAAAACAACATAAAAATATGAACCTTTTCTTCTACAGTTACAGAAGCTAAGTAGAGTATTTCTATTCTATTAATAATAACCCACATGTCATTCAGCTAATGGTGCTTGTCCTAAACTTTAAAAACAAGGCACTGTCATACCTAGCCCAGGACAGCGGATGGTCAGTAAACCGCCAAACTAGAGCTTGCTCTCATTCCACACTCAAAACCAGAGTGTTGTGTCCCAGAGCCCAAATCCTGTAGAGAATCTAAAACCACTTAACACCTTCCCTCTAACAGTGATCTTTCCTGGGCTTTACTTTTATCTGCAGAAGTGCAAAGTGGCTTCAGGAGAAAGGTCAGGGCAGTAAATAAAACCACTGGATATGGGCTGAGAGCAGAGGCAGCCAAGTTCAGGGTTGCCCTTGGAGGGAGCAGCAGCATTACGAGGTATGAGCCATTCATAAATATCTGAGCAACTTGACCAAGGGGTTACTTCATTTCCCTTGATTCCCAGTGCTATGCACATGGTCTTAATGACTAGGCTTGATAAATACAGGCAGAAATAAGTGGGTCTTCCAGGTTTCTGACATGCAGGGTGGATTCGGTACATGAAGCTGTGCTGTGAAAGAATGAGTCAAAGGCACACACAGCACTAACCAACCTGTTTGAACAAATGGCTCCAAATTAGCCTCACAGCTCAACTGCAAAGCACTGAGAAACCCAAAGAGACTCAGCCCAGGAAATGCTTATTAACCCCAAAGGCAAGGACAACAGCATGGAATTCTAAAATCTTAAAGAACTGAGAGAACACAAGAAATCAAGGGATTACACCTATCAAACATGAGAATGCTTCCGTGTTCATTCAGGGTATTAGGAATCGTATTAATCAGTGTATAAGATTTATTCCTGTTTTTTGAGATGACCTACCCAAAGGAGTTGTTAAGAACCCAAAAAGCTCTTGTCAGTTGTTTAACCTATAAAGGCAATACCTTGGAAACTGTACCATTTCAGAAAGCAAGTCAGCTTCCAAAAACATTTTTACCCCGGGGCTAGCAAGTGCCATGGTGGTTAAGTGTTAGATCCCACATGGCCAACTGCGTGGTTTGAGTCCCAGACCTGGTGGCTTGAAAAACATGCTGGGTACATGTGTGTGCATGCCCAAAATCCCAAGAGGAGAGTAGAGGAAAAGAGTTCGTGGTGTGACCATCCCTCTCTCTCCCAGGGGAGTGATTTTTCACTTTTCCTCTCTCTCTCCCTGTCTGTCTTTCTCTCTCTGGCGAGTACATGTGCCCTGTAGCAAAAACTAAAACAAAAAACTTACTTACTCCTCTTCAAGTGTAATGTAGCTCTACTGAAGAGTAAAATATTCCCTGCTAATTTGCCTCCAACTTCTTTGATTTGCAATCAGAGATCATTACCTGTAAAGGGAAGAGTCAGGCTGACTCCATTGCCTAGTGATTAGGGGAGCCAGCTCCCGCATGGCCAAATGCACAGTTTGAATAGCAAATTTGGTGGCTTGAAAAACATGCTGGATGCATGCATAAGTGAAGTCCTGGGGTGTTATGAATGGGGCCTTTTGGGTCCTCTATTCCCAGGTAAGGAACAATGGCTGAGAATTCAATGACAGCCCGATGAAGCACCTTCTCTAATACCCACTGAGTCAAAACACACCAGCGCCAACCTATCTCTTGAGTTAGGTGAACACAACGAGGAAGGCTGGGACTCCAGACAAGCCTGCAGCTGACACAGAGTTTGATTTCATTGGTTCCCTCTCCTTTTAACGTCTTTCCTGAACTCCTGCCACCCAAAGAGCCATCACTCAGCTCATTATAGATGGCGGCTTGAAAGCTGCTGCCATAGGTGACATGCCTCTTACAGAATCAGTTCCCTCTGCACATTTTCTAGCCAATGCTATATGTCAGACCTAAGCCCCTTCTACCGCAGTCTCTTCGAGGGACTAAGTTAACAACTAGGTAACTTGGCATACCATTGGCTACTAAAGTTTAGTGACTTATAGTGTGTTACTTCCTTAACAAATAATATCCACCTGATCTTGCAACTTTTTTTTTTAAGAGAGATTTTTGCTATAGGGCATGTGTGCTCACTGGAAAGACAGAGAGATAAAGAGACAGAAAGCAAGAATTCACCCCCCCAGGAAGGATAGCAATGCCACAATCCCTTCTCTTCCATTCTCTTCTCGGGATTTTGGGCATGCACGCACAGGCGCCCAAGTGAGAGTTTCAAGCCCCCTGGTCTGACAGCCGTCAACTACGTGGAAGTCCAACTACAACACCATTATGCTGATTGGTCCCTGATCTTGCATCTTTTCAGCGCGTTCACTTTCAGCACCATAAATCTGGCAACTTCTAGATTTCTTTCCTATACCTCACAGATAATCTGGACCATGTATTCAGGGATAAATTAAAGCCAGTGCCACTCACTGGGGTCTGTGTACCGCCTATGTCACTATATATGTCAGAGGAGGGGGTGCCTGTTGAAAATGCACATCCCCAGGCCTCACCAGTGACCCAATGAATCAGATTCTCTAGGAGCATCTGGAACATTCTTCCAAATTGATTCTTCTCCTACTAAATCAGTACATATCATGTGACAGCTACACACAGTTATTTGCTATTAGAGTAGACACAAGACTCTTGGACACAATAAACACCCACTGCTAGCTTATAAAACATATTCAAAGTCTCTCTTTTTTTTTAATTTGGCATGTGGAAGATAAAGCAGATGAACATGCAGGCTTCTCTGGCTGTCCTTTCGTCTCTACATGGCTCATGCTGATTTTAGACTGTGTCATCTGAGCCTAACCTCCTCTGTGAAGACTCAGATTCCTTTTGGCAGAGCCAGTAACTCCCCACTCAGGGCTCTTGTAGCCCACTGTACATAGGTGGTCATCTTGGAGCATTTATACCACTCAGGGTGGACCAACTCCTCTTTTATTTAGTCCCAGTGAATCACAAATAGCCCGCTAAATGCTGGTTCCCGGATCTTTTTTTTTTTTTAAGAGAGATTTTTGCTATAGGGCATGTGTGCTCACCAGAAAGACAAAGAGAGACAAAGAGACAGAAAGCAAGAATTCACCCCCCCAGGAAGGATAGCAATGCCACAATCCCTTCTCTTCCATTCTCTTCTCGGGATTTTGGGCATGCACGCACAGGCGCCCAAGTGAGAGTTTCAAGCCCCCTGGTCTGACAGCCGTCAACTACGTGGAAGTCCAACTACAACACCATTATGCTGATTGGTCCCTGATCTTGCATCTTTTCAGCGCGTTCACTTTCAGCACCATAAATCTGGCAACTTCTAGATTTCTTTCCTATACCTCACAGATAATCTGGACCATGTATTCAGGGATAAATTAAAGCCAGTGCCACTCACTGGGGTCTGTGTACCGCCTATGTCACTATATATGTCAGAGGAGGGGGTGCCTGTTGAAAATGCACATCCCCAGGCCTCACCAGTGACCCAATGAATCAGATTCTCTAGGAGCATCTGGAACATTCTTCCAAATTGATTCTTCTCCTACTAAATCAGTACATATCATGTGACAGCTACACACAGTTATTTGCTATTAGAGTAGACACAAGACTCTTGGACACAATAAACACCCACTACTGGCTTATAAAACATATTCAAAGTCTCTCTTTTTTTTTAATTTGGCATGTGGAAGATAAAGCAGATGAACATGCAGGCTTCTCTGGCTGTCCTTTCGTCTCTACATGGCTCATTCTGATTTTAGACTGTGTCATCTGAGCCTAACCTCCTCTGTGAAGACTCAGATTCCTTTTGGCAGAGCCAGTAACTCCCCACTCAGGGCTCTTGTAGCCCACTGTACATAGGTGGTCATCTTGGAGCATTTATACCACTCAGGGTGGACCAACTCCTCTTTTATTTAGTCCCAGTGAATCACAAATAGCCTGGCTTGTTCACTGCCACCGTCCCTTCTCCTAGCACAGTCTACGGACCTTCGTAGGCATGCAATAATAATTGTTGAGTGACGGAGTGAGTGAATAAGCTATATTGTCACTGAGAGCAGCCACCGATGAAGCGCATTGAAAGGACGGACGGATGAACTGAGCGAACCTCTCCTTCTACACGTCCTCAGATTCTCCCTTGGAGTCACTGTTCCTCCTCTCTCCAAAGCACAGGAATCAAGATATTCACATTTTCCATCTATTATTGTGGTCCACACTCTGAATTAACTACTTCCAGTTCTATTAGACAAAGGGAGCAATGGACAATCTACACACTGCATGCAAATAGCACCGAGGAGGAAAAGAGATACCACACTAGGTATTTCCAACAGAGGTGATTTAATGCAAGGAATTGATTACACAGGTTCAGTAAGGCTGGAAGAGGGCCGTGGAGACAGCCCAGATGTTAGTAAACACAGGAAGCAGCTACTAACCTTAGGGATGGGGGAAACAAAAGGGAAGAGGTGGTGTTACCAGAACCTAGAAGCTTTGATGGGGGACCCCCCACGGCTGGCGCCTGGCCCTCTTTGGGGGGAGCTGCGCGGCTGTTGCTTGGGCTTCTGAGGGGGCCGCTGCTTGGCTGGTGGTGGTCGGACCTCTGGGCGGGGGCGTGGCTGACGCTCAGACCTCGGAGGGGACCGTGGCTTGGCTGGTGCTCTGACCACGGCGGGGGATGCAGCTGGCTGTGGCTTGGGCCTCTGAGGGGACGTTGCACGGCGTCTGGTGCTGAGAGGGCCAAAAGAAGCTGGAGGCTGGCGCCAGGGCTCTCCTCTGCCGCTTAAGGGGTGCTGACAGGAGCTGAAACAGGGAGGAAGGGCCTGCTCCCCCTCCCACCAGCGCCTTCCAGTGTCAGAACCTAATGGGAGCCGACCGTCAGGGGGTTGGGAGAAAAATGGCTTGCAAAGGCCCAGCTCCCACATGACGCAGCAGAGTAGGAAGGGTGAGTTCTGAGACTCCACAGAGCAATGCCCAGCCCAGGCCGGGCAGGCAGTGCGGCCACTCACCTGGTCTTCTGGCAGGCGCAGCAGATCCAGTCCTCCTCCTTCTTCTGGTAGAAGCAGCCACTCTTACAGATGCTGTACTTCCGGTCCACGATCTCACGCTTGGAGTTGAGGAAGGTGAAGGGCGGGCAGCAGTGGATGCTGAAGTGCTCGGTGAACTTCTGGTTCTTGGAGAGTCTGGGACCCTCCTTCACCGTTTTCTGACTCATTTCACTGGAAATCACCAATGTGGGGAGAAGCAGAGGCATAGAACGGCACTGTCAGGCAGGGGAGCGTTCTACTCAAGGGGCCCACTCCCTGCTGGTCCCACATCCCAGTGAACACCCAGGATTGTCCTACCCCAAACACGTCTGGAAGATCAATCTCCTGCCCAGCTCCACAGAAGGAACTAAATGAGGACTTTATTCATTTGTATTTATGTACTTTTTTTACATGATCTTTTCTAAGAGAGAGAGACATGACTTTTTTTTATCTTGTCTTAGATATCCACTTTGGATAAGAAAAATGACAAAACCAAGCACATCTGCATATCCTTCGTTAAATAATATCCTAGATTTAGAAAAGGACCTTTTTTTCTCCTAAAAATTAAATGATGGGTTTTATTAAAACCAGGGCCGGTGCCATCACCCAGTAGCTAAGGGATTCAACTCTGACAGGGCTGACTGTGGTTTGAGTCACAACTTCAGCAGCTTGAGAAGCTTAGGCGTGTGTGCATGCATGCCCCAAACCCCAACAGGACAGACAAATAGAGGAAGAGATTGAGGCATGACCATTCCCCACTGGAGGATGCTTCTTCTCTCTCTCTTTTGCAAGCACACACACACACACACACACACACACACACACACACACTGGCAATTAAAAAAATCATAATCACTATTCATACAATAAAATACTACCAAACAATAAATGGGAACAAACTACCAATGCACATCTCACCATGTTTGATTCACACAGACATCATGGTGAACCAAAGAAGCCAGACACAAAAAAGAATACAAAGCTGTATAACTCACTTTATAGGAGGATCTGAAACAAACAAAACGAATCTCTGATACTAGAACTCAACAGCATAGATGTTTGGAGAAGGTGGTGTCTGACGACAAAGGGGCATACAGAAGCCTGCTTTGGGGCTTAAAACGTTCTTTCTAGGAATATGACAAATACAGAACAGTCCTACCTACCACTCCACAACACGGAAACACACAGGGGACTTCGATGGCTGTCAATCAACAAGAGTCCAGTAATAAGAACGGGTGATGGGCATATTTGGATACTGAGATGACAATGCAGTTCACACCCTCATCAAGTTGGAGACAAGAGGTACTTACAGTGTGATGGAAGTATGGAAAGTTCGAGAGCCCAGAGGAAGGATGGACTCTTTAAAGACAACATACGATCTGGGTTTTTAAGGCTGAATACATTGAACGCAACTAAAATATTGAGGGTATATTTTGATTTTTGGATTTTGATGGGGTTGTGTTCTGCTACAAACAGAAATGAAGATGGAGGAACAGGTTTGGTACAGTTGAAATACTTTTTTGGCGCTGGCATGTTGGTAATGTAATTAGACCTACATGAGAAGGTCTTTGGTCATGTCCCTGTGAGCTAGGCTGGCTGAAGCTGGGGGAAGATTCTGGTCTGAAGACCCTGTTGGGGGCTTTTCTATCCCTCAGAAGAAATCAATAAAAACGTTCTTTCCCAATGTTTCTACTGTTTTTATGGTGCAAAAGTAATTCGTTTTTATGTAATTACATTTTTTTTAGTTTTTATTCAGTTTTATGTTTTTATGTAATTACATTTTTTAGTTTTTATTCAGAGTTTTATATTTCTCTTGGGAAGATCTTCTGTCAGCTTCGAAACATACTCATATATACCCCATTTTAAAGGAAAATCTGGCAACCAACAGATGGTGTGATGGCTATGTTGCTGGACTCCCCCATAGTCGACTGCAGTTTGAGTCCTAGATCCAGTGGCTTGAAATTCACGCCGGGCGCATGTGCGTGCATGCCCACAATCCTGAAAGGAGAACGGAGGAGAAGGGAATGCAGTGTGGCCATCTCCCCTAGGGAGTGATTTCTCGCTTTCTGTCTCTCTCTGGCAAGTGCACGTAACCTTATAGCAAAAATCTCTCTCTTAAAAAAAAAAAAAGAAAGAAAGAAAGAAAGAAAAGAAAAAAGAAAAGAGAAAAGAAAAGAAAAGGAAAGAAAAGAAGAAGAAAGAAAAGAAAAGAGATCCTCTCTGGATCCTACTCCTACGTCCACTGTTTCCTTATGACTTTCCTTCTCTCTGGAGGCAAAGTTCTTGAAAAATCATCCGTACTCTTTTTCTCTTTCCATCATCTCTCATTCATTCTTCAGTTGTTTCTTTTCTCCCCAGGAAAAATGGCTTTCCACTGCTCCCCAGAGATCTCTATGCTGATAAATCAGGTGTCTTCTCGTTGGGTTCCTCGGAATCTGCTATAGTTTGAACATGTCCCCCCAGAATTCATGTGTTGAAATTTGGCGAGCCATTGTAACAGTGTTGAGAGGGTGGAAACTTGAGCCAATTATGGTGCTGAAAGATGCAGCCTTTGGGAGGGGGTTGAGATTGGATGAGGTCGTCAGGGTGGGGCTCCCATGAGTGACTCCTGGTAGCATTATAAGAAAAGCAGATACACACACACAGATACATACATATACACACACAGAGATACACACACACAGATATACACACACAGATACACACAGAGATACATACATATACACACACAGAGATACACACAGATATACACATACACATACACGCACACAGATACACACACAGAGATATACACACAGATACACACACATACACACACACAGATAAATACACAGACACACAGATACACACAGATATACACACACAAATACATACACACAGATACACGCACACAGATATACACATACACAGATACATGCATGTACACACACAGACATACGCACAGAGATACACACACAGACATACAGATATACACACACACAAATACACACACAGATATATACACAGACACACAGATACACACAGATACACACACACAGATATACAAACACACAAATGCACACAAACAGATACACACAACAGATATACACATACACAGATATACTCATGTACACACACAGACATACAGATACACAGACACACAGATACACACACAGAGATACATACACAGACACAGATACACACAGAGATACACACAGATATACACACACAGACACACAGATACACACAGATACACACACAGAGATACATACACAGACACAGATACACACAGAGATACACCCAGATATACACACACAGACACACAGATACACACAGAGATACACACACACAAAAATACACACATACAGACACACAGATACACAGATACACACACACATACACACACTTTGCTTGTGCTCTCCTGCCATGTGGCGCCCTGTGCCACCTTGGAACTGTGCAGAGAGCCCCACTAACAAGAAGACCTTTGCCAAAAGTGGCCCCCAATGTTGGACTTCCAAAGCATGAGCTTATTTATAAGTCCCTATCTTTTTTATAAATTATACAAATTTAGGCATTTCTGTTATCGGCAACAAAGAGACTAAAACACCATCTAAGCTCTTCTCTCATGGGACACCACGTTCTTCTAGATTTCCTTTTCCGCCTGTAGTCCTTCGTCTCCATGGCTCTAATAGGCTCATCTTCCTTATTCAAAACTTCAAATGTTCAATGCTTCCATGTCCAGTGACTACTAAATGATGAACAGTTACCTTATACTATCCAATTCAGCATGTGTTACATATCCAGGCTGGGCTCAGTGCTCCCCTGGTAGAGTGGACACAAAGCTGAATCGCTCTCCGTCCAGTGCCGAAGAACCACCTCCACCAGCTGCAGACTCGGGTAAGTGTGTGACTAAGGTGCAGAGAGTGTGCTAATGGCCACGAGACTCATTTCCTGAGCCCAGACACGTGCAAGTCAGTGAGAGAGGGAGCGAGCGGGGTCGGATAGACACCTGCCACAAGAAGCTCATGCCACAGATTAAGGAACATCACACAGAGGCCGGTAACCACAGTACCCAGGCAGCAGCCTCGGACGTGAGAACATGCTGGGAAACAGCGTGAGAAGTCCACAAAGAAGGGCAGTGTGTCAGGCTGGAGAACAATGAAAACTCCGTGGGCAGAAGCATTTCACCTGGCCCTAAGGTTTGGCCAGGAAGGGATAAGGGTCTGTGGAGGGACGGGCATGGTTGATGCCTAAGCAGAGACACACAGGGGTGAATCACAGGACCCCTGAGAGCATCCCCCTCCATTTACAGGGCACAGAGTGGGAGAGCCAGTGGTGCCAGGATACAGGCAATGAGGTAAGGCAGGAGTTACAGCCCCTGTGATGTGTTTTGCTTAAGGTACCCAGGACATCCATGAGAAAATAGTTCCCCAAAACTCAAGAGCTAGAGCCAGCATCCTGAGAGTGCTTCACCTTATGGAAAGACACACAGTCTTGGGAATGGGTGAGATGCCTGTGAACTGAAAGGAGCTATAGACAGGGGAGGCCATAGAAGAACCAGAGCCATAGAAGAAGGTGTAGCAAGAATATCCAGAGACGTAGTATGAGTAGCGGCTTCTTAGAAGAGAGAATTCCAATTTCCAGGAGGAAGACATGCATGGCCATATCCAAACAGACATTATGGACCAATAAGCAACCACAATGAACTGAGCCCGTCCAGTAGTCTGCCGGCGAAGAAAGCAGATTCCATATGGTTGGGACCAGCTGTTGGCATAATGACTATGTCGCTGGACTCCCACGTGGTCGACCGCGGTTCGTGTCCCAGACCCAGTGGCTTAAATCTCACGCCGGGCGCATGTGCGTGCATGCCCAAGATCCCGAGAGGAGAATGCAGGAGAAAGGATTGTGGCGTGGCCATCCCCCCTGGGGTGTGATTTATCACTGTCTCTCTGTCTCTCTCTGTCTGTCTGGTGAACACACGCACCCTACAGCAAAAAAAATAAAAAAATACCTCTATAAAAATAAATAAATAGCCATATGGCTGACTGCAGCTTGAATCCTGGCCCTAGTGGCTTGAAGAACATGCCAGGCAAGTGTATGTTCATGCTCAAATCCCAGTGAGACGAAATGGAGAAGAAGGGATTGTGGTGTGACCGCAGCCCATTGGGGAGTGCTTTCTCCCTCGCCCTCTTTCTGTTTCTGTCTCTCTCCAG